TAGCATTTGCCGAACAAAACCACAAACCCATGGATTCCGTCCAGTATTTGGTCCAAGACTTGAGCCAATCCTGGGATTCATTGAGTCCTGTATTGAAGGCATTGGAGTCTAAGGTATCGCTAATTGTATCTCAATTTGCCATACAATGGATCCCCGATAAGAGCCGACTAATGCATGTCGTGAGAAAACTATTGGCCAAAAACGGGGAATTTATGGCCATTTATACCATAAAACCTGACGTGATTTCAATGTTAACCGCCGAACAGATATTACACAATAATATAACAGTAAGTAATGAAAAAATTAATTGAGGCTACATTAAGTAACTAAAATTGAAAATTTATAAATTTATTTAAAATAAACTCACCATGCTCAGTTGAAAACACAGTCAAAGGAGCAACACCTCGATGATATAAAAATGGCTTGTTTGAATAATGGACTTCAGATGATGGAGTTAAAAGTTTGTGTTCAAATCAACAAACTGGGTGCTTATATCTTAAACCGTAAATATGAAAAAAAAATTCAATATTCATTAAATTGAACACGTTTACTGGTGTTTTAAATTTTACAATTAAAAGATAATATTAGATTTGACTCCATTAATAGATCATAATTTTTATATGTTTATTATGTAATTGATATTGATTGATTTATTTGTTGCTAATGTAGCTGACTTTCCCGGTCCGATGAACTTTGGTGACATGGGTTACACCACTGATAAGACTGACCCGAAGTTTGCGTTCATGAAGAACATAATGGTTGACATAGTATTACGTCCGGACGCGACTGCTCTTAACCCTCACGCCTACGACCAGTTGGCCGACAAATGGGATCTAAACGGACCCGGAATACCCCAATTTGTGCCCTCAATAGAGATTTTATGTTTGAAAAATTAAATATTTATCTAGATCATTATTGTCGTTATTGTCGTCTAGTCTTTTGTATTACAATTCTTTGTAATTTTTATTTTAATGAATAAATAAAATAAATGTTTTATGATTTTTAACTATAATTAAATATGAAAATTGCAGTTTAAAGACCACGATGCGCCACTGGGAATAATGTCTGTTTATATTTCTAAAATTTTTATTTTATTTACTATTGCCTAACAAGTTATCATAATATTAAAGTGAAAATATTTTTATAAAATTTTGAAATAATTATTTAGTAATTGTTTAAAACTATTTCTAATATATGAATGTAAATTATTATAATTGGCCCTAGTATTTAATTTTAAAAATTGGTTTAAAAAATCCTAAAACATAATATCAATCTTTGAAAGAAAGAAAGAAAGAAAGAAAGAGAGAGAGAGAGAGAGAAAGAGAGAGAGATTAAAAATAGTAAAATTAGCAAAATTTTGGCCACTATATAGAATTTACACTGTATAGAGAGTCACTATATGGAGCGGAAATAACATTACAAGTATACAGTGTCCGCCAAACTTAAATATTTTGTACACTGTATAGAGAGTCACTATATGGAAAGTTCACTGTACATTCAAATGAGAGAGAGAGAGAGAGAGAGAGAGAGAGAGAGACTCGTTGACTTAAATAAAAAAATGTTTCTGTTTTTAGTTTAACTTTAGTTTTAGTTAAGTTCTAGTTTTTAAATTTAGCTAGAAAATTACAATGTCATTTTAAAGTAAGTTATTTAAGTTTAAAATTAATAACGATATATGATTTATATTATATAAAACACAAACAGAATCATTAATTAGATTTTATTTAACAATCATTTAAAATATATTAATGATTGAATGTTGAATTGCGAGAGTGTTTAGATTTTTATTTTTAAGTATAACAAATTACATGTACTATTGTTTAAAAATTTACAACAATTTATATAAAAACTTAAAATTCAAAATGCAGTGAAAATGTGCAACAAATATAATAATCATTAATTATATTTGTTTTGACATTTATCAAAAACAATTATATTTAGATTTCTATTATACAAATAACAATGTATTCATTAATTACATAAATACTTATTAATAACTTATTTGAAATTATTATCTTACAATAATTGTTAGAGCATTTCATATTATGCTTTATGAAACATTTTAATTCACCAGTAAAGTTTTATGAACAAAAATTTAGAATTTATTACATTAATCTAATTTATTTTAATAATAATAATATATAACAATGTCTGGCATTAAATGCAATGAAGTATTGTCTCAAGAATTGCGAATACAATCAGCAGAGAATCAATTGTATAGAATTGGGTTAACACTCAATACTCCACAAACACCAACACAAAGACCCTGGTATTCACACCCGGCTATCATTTCATTAGTTTTATGGTATGCTTTAATGGCAAACATTATAATGATGTATTTCAATGGACAAAATGAGTTTATTGTTTATATTTTTGGCGATTTTAGTCACTTAATGGGCTTTGGATATCATATAAAAATGTGCACTTTTTTAAGCGCATGTTTCGCATTAAGCAATGTATTAATATACCAATATAATGATATTTATAACATTAAACCCACATTTCTTTGGGTATTTGCTATGATGTCAGGTATGGTTACCCCCTATAGTGTCGGTCTAACGGATCCGCAATCTGTCCGCAGATTTCTAAAGCGATCATAATTGTTGTTTAAAGCAAATCAACTCATTTGCAAAACTACACCACTATTTATTAGTTTAAATTGTTTAGTGCCGTTCATACTATACAAACCATTAGTACCTGCCCTAGTATTTGGTATACCCCATACCATAATACACTATGCGTTTGCATATTACGTATTGACCGTGTTGGTTTGGCAATTCACCACGTTGTATTTGTTGTCGTATTATCTTAAAATGAAAATTAAATTAATTAATATTAGGGCTAAAAATTATCACAAATATAAACAAAATATTATAAAGATTATTAATGATTTGGAACATGTTTATTCCGAAATCAATGATTATGATCGGATTGTATTGTCAAAACTTATGTGCACGGTGTGGGTGTTTGTGGGTTTATTTATTACAGTGATTATTTATGTCGCTATATTTGTCGAGTTAACGATGGTGTTGAAAGTTGTGTTTATTTACCTAGCTCAATTAGTAACCACAACATTCATTATATTTATATTCACCGCATCGTCCCTTAATTATATGGCAAATAAATCGTATAAAATATTCAACACTTTATTTATACAATTAAGTTATTAATATAAAATTAATT